TTCATCCCAGTGCTCCCAGTTCCCATTCACCCCAATGGGTCCCATTCATCCCAATGGGTCCCATTCATCCCAATGGATCCCATTCATCCCAATGGATCCCAGTGCATCCCAGTGCTCCCAGTTCCCATTCATCCCAATGGATCCCATTCATCCCAATGGATCCCATTCATCCCAGTGCTCCCAGTTCCCATTCATCCCAATGGGTCCCATTCACCCCAATGGGTCCCATTCATCCCAATGGATCCCATTCATCCCAATGGGTCCCAGTTCATCCCAGTGCTCCCAGTTCCCATTCATCCCAATGGATCCCATTCATCCCAATGGATCCCATTCATCCCAATGGGTCCCAGTGCTCCCAGTTCCCATTCATCCCAATGGGTCCCATTCACCCCAATGGGTCCCATTCATCCCAATGGATCCCATTCATCCCAATGGGTCCCAGTTCATCCCAGTGCTCCCAGTTCCCATTCATCCCAATGGGTCCCATTCATCCCAATGGATCCCATTCATCCCAGTGCTCCCAGTTCCCATTCATCCCAATGGATCCCATTCATCCCAGTGCTCCCAGTTCATCCCAGTGCTCCCAGTTCCCATTCATCCCAATGGATCCCATTCATCCCAATGGATCCCAGTTCATCCCAGTGCTCCCAGTTCCCATTCATCCCAATGGGTCCCATTCATCCCAATGGATCCCAGTTCATCCCAGTGCTCCCAGTTCCCATTCATCCCAATGGGTCCCATTCATCCCAATGGATCCCATTCATCCCAGTGCTCCCAGTTCATCCCAGTGCTCCCAGTTCCCATTCATCCCAATGGATCCCAGTTCATCCCAGTGCTCCCAGTTCCCATTCATCCCAATGGATCCCAGTTCATCCCAGTGCTCCCAGTTCCCATTCATCCCAATGGATCCCAGTTCATCCCAGTGCTCCCAGTTCCCATTCATCCCAATGGATCCCATTCATCCCAATGGATCCCATTCATCCCAGTGCTCCCAGTTCATCCCAGTGCTCCCAGTTCCCATTCATCCCAATGGATCCCATTCATCCCAATGGATCCCAGTTCATCCCAATGGATCCCAGTTCATCCCAGTGCTCCCAGTTCCCATTCACCCCAATGGATCCCATTCATCCCAATGGATCCCAGTTCATCCCAGTGCTCCCAGTTCCCATTCATCCCAATGGGTCCCATTCATCCCAATGGATCCCAGTTCATCCCAGTGCTCCCAGTTCCCATTCATCCCAATGGATCCCATTCATCCCAATGGATCCCAGTGCATCCCAGTGCTCCCAGTTCCCATTCATCCCAATGGATCCCATTCATCCCAATGGATCCCAGTGCTCCCAGTTCCCATTCATCCCAATGGATCCCATTCATCCCAATGGATCCCATTCATCCCAATGGATCCCAGTGCATCCCAGTGCTCCCAGTTCCCATTCATCCCAATGGATCCCATTCATCCCAATGGATTCCATTCATCCCAATGGATCCCATTCATCCCAATGGGTCCCATTCATCCCAATGGATCCCATTCATCCCAGTGCTCCCAGTTCATCCCAGTGCTCCCAGTTCCCATTCATCCCAATGGATCCCATTCATCCCAATGGGTCCCAGTTCATCCCAGTGCTCCCAGTTCCCATTCATCCCAATGGATCCCATTCATCCCAATGGGTCCCATTCATCCCAATGGATCCCATTCATCCCAGTGCTCCCAGTTCATCCCAGTGCTCCCAGTTCCCATTCATCCCAATGGATCCCATTCATCCCAATGGGTCCCAGTTCATCCCAGTGCTCCCAGTTCCCATTCATCCCAATGGGTCCCATTCATCCCAATGGGTCCCAGTGCATCCCAGTGCTCCCAATTCATCCCAGTGCTCCCAGTTCCCATTCATCCCAATGGATCCCATTCATCCCAATGGGTCCCAGTGCATCCCAGTGCTCCCAATTCATCCCAGTGCTCCCAGTTCCCATTCATCCCAATGGGTCCCATTCATCCCAATGGATCCCAGTTCATCCCAGTGCTCCCAGTTCATCCCAGTGCTCCCAGTTCCCATTCATCCCAATGGATCCCATTCATCCCAATGGGTCCCATTCATCCCAATGGATCCCAGTTCATCTCAGTGCTCCCAGTTCATCCCAGTGCTCCCAGTTCCCATTCATCCCAATGGATCCCATTCATCCCAATGGATCCCAGTTCATCCCAGTGCTCCCAGTTCCCATTCATCCCAATGGATCCCATTCATCCCAATGGGTCCCATTCATCCCAGTGCTCCCAGTTCATCCCAGTGCTCCCAGTTCCCATTCATCCCAATGGATCCCATTCATCCCAGTGCTCCCAGTTCATCCCAGTGCTCCCAGTTCCCATTCATCCCAATGGATCCCATTCATCCCAATGGATTCCATTCATCCCAATGGATCCCATTCATCCCAATGGGTCCCATTCATCCCAATGGATCCCATTCATCCCAGTGCTCCCAGTTCATCCCAGTGCTCCCAGTTCCCATTCATCCCAATGGATCCCATTCATCCCAATGGATCCCAGTTCATCCCAGTGCTCCCAGTTCCCATTCATCCCAATGGATCCCATTCATCCCAATGGATCCCATTCATCCCAATGGGTCCCATTCATCCCAATGGATCCCATTCATCCCAATGGATCCCAGTGCATCCCAGTGCTCCCAGTTCATCCCAGTGCTCCCAGTTCCCATTCATCCCAATGGGTCCCATTCATCCCAATGGGTCCCAGTTCATCCCAGTGCTCCCAGTTCCCATTCATCCCAATGGGTCCCATTCATCCCAATGGATCCCAGTTCATCCCAGTGCTCCCAGTTCCCATTCATCCCAATGGATCCCATTCATCCCAATGGATCCCAGTTCCCATTCATCCCAATGGATCCCATTCATCCCAATGGATCCCATTCATCCCAATGGGTCCCATTCATCCCAATGGATCCCAGTTCATCCCAATGGATCCCATTCATCCCAATGGATCCCATTCATCCCAATGGATCCCAGTTCCCATTCATCCCAATGGATCCCATTCATCCCAATGGATCCCATTCATCCCAATGGATCCCATTCATCCCAATGGATCCCATTCATCCCATTCCCCCCTCCCCTTCCCTCTTGCATCATCCGGACGCATCCATTTCAACACCGTGGGGCGGGACCTATGGGGCTGGATTGCGCCATCTGCCCCACTGCCAAATAGTGAGCCATAGCCCGCAATGGGGCTCGCCCCGCCGTGCCCTCCCTTGCCAAATAGGGAGCCATAGCCCGCAATGGGGCTCGCCCCGCCGTGCCCTCCCTTGCCAAATAGGGAGCCATAGCCCGCAATGGGGCTCGCCCCGCCGTGCCCTCCCTTGCCAAATAGGGAGCCATAGCCCGCAATGGGGCTCGCCCCGCCGTGCCCTCCCTTGCCAAATAGTGAGCCATAGCCCGCAATGGGGCTCGCCCCGCCGTGCCCTCCCTTGCCAAATAGTGAGCCATTGACCGCAATGGGGCTTGCCCGGCCCTGCCCTCTCTTGCCAAATAGGGAGCCGCCCTGGGAGTGCCGCCGCTGCTTAATAGGGAGCCAGGGCCAAGCCCCATTCCCCGGCCCCCTTGCTAAATAGGGAGCCGCCCTTGACCCGGGTTTGCTGCCTTGGGGGGGGGGGGGTGCCACATAGTGAGCCATGGGGCTAGGCATTAGGACCCCTCTGCCACATAGTGAGCCATGGGGCTAGGCATTAGGACCCCCTTGCCACATAGTGAGCCATGGGGCTAGGCATTAGGACCCCTCTGCCACATAGTGAGCCATGGGGCTAGGCACTAGGACCCCTCTGCCACATAGTGAGCCATGGGGCTAGGCATTGAGACCCCTCTGCCACATAGTGAGCCATGGGGCTAGGCATTAGGACCCCCTTGCCACATAGTGAGCCATGGGGCTAGGCATTGAGACCCCCCTGCCACATAGTGAGCCATGGGGCTAGGCATTGAGACCCCTCTGCCACATAGTGAGCCATGGGGCTAGGCATTAGGACCCCCTTGCCACATAGTGAGCCATGGGGCTAGGCATTGAGACCCCCCTGCCACATAGTGAGCCATAGGGCTAGGCATTAGGACCCCTCTGCCACATAGTGAGCCATGGGGCTAGGCATTAGGACCCCCCTGCCACATAGTGAGCCATGGGGCTAGGCATTGAGACCCCCCTGCCACATAGTGAGCCATGGGGCTAGGCATTAGGACCCCCTTGCCACATAGTGAGCCATGGGGCTAGGCATTAGGACCCCTCTGCCACATAGTGAGCCATGGGGCTAGGCATTGAGACCCCTCTGCCACATAGTGAGCCATAGGGCTAGGCATTGAGACCCCCCTGCCACATTGTGAGCCAATCACCTAAAGCATAGAACACCCCTGCCATATAGTGAGCCATCACCTTAAGCATACGACCCTCCTGCCACATAGTGAGCCAATCACCTTAAGCATAGGACCCCCCCCTGCCACATAGTGAGCCAATCACCTTAAGCATACGACCCCCCCCGCCACATAGTGAGCCATTCACCTTAAGCATAGGACCCCCCTGCCACATAGTGAGCCATTCACCTTAAGCATAGGACCCCCCCCTGCCACATAGTGAGCTAAAGCATAGAACACCCCTGCCACATAGTGAGCCATTCACCTAAAGCATAGGACCCCCCTGCCACATAGTGAGCCATTCACCTTAAGCATAGGACCCCCCTGCCACATAGTGAGCCATCACCTATAGCATCAGACCCCCCTGCCACATAGTGAGCCATCACCTTAAGCATAGGACCCCCCCTGCCACATAGTGAGCCATTGAGCTAAAGCATTGGACACCCCTGCCACATAGTGAGCTATTACCCCCTGCCATATAGTGAGCCATTGCCACACCCCATAGGCTCCCCCCTGCCACATAGTGAGCTATTGCAGCCTCTGACACATGCTGAACCATTGCGCCACCCCATACCCCCGTTGCCACATAGTGAGCCAGGCCGCGCCCCTTACGCCTCCCCTGCCACATAGTGAGCCACAGCCCAGTCATTACCCCCGCTGCCACATAGTGAGCCATTTACTTAAAGCATAGGACCCCTTCTGCCACATAGTGATCCACTAGATCATTCATTACCCCCCCTGCCACATAGTGAGCCATAGCCCGACCTCACCCCCCCGTTGCCACATAGTGATCCATTACCCCATTCATTACCCCTCTTGCCACATAGTGATCCATTGCCCCACCCCATTCCCCCCCCATTGCCACATAGTGAGCTAAGGACCCCCCTGCCACATAGTGAGCCATTACCCCACCCCTTATCCCCCCGTTGCCACATAGTGATCCATTACCCCATTCATTACCCCCCATTGCCACATAGTGATCCATTGTCCCACCCCTTATCCCCCCATTGCCACATAGTGATCTACAGACCCCCTGCCACATAGTGAGCCATTACCCCACCCCTTATCCCCCCATTGCCACATAGTGATCCATCCCCATTCATTCCCCCCATTGCCACATAGTGATCCATTCCCCCCCCATTGCCACATAGTGAGCTAAGGACCCCCTGCCACATAGTGAGCCATTACCCCACCCCTTATCCCCCCCGTTGCCACATAGTGATCCATCCCCATTCATTCCCCCCATTGCCACATAGTGATCCATTCCCCCACCCCATTCCCCCCCCCATTGCCACATAGTGAGCTAAGGACCCCCTGCCACATAGTGAGCCATTACCCCACCCCTTATCCCCCCATTGCCACATAGTGATCCATTACCCCATTCATTCCCCCCCATTGCCACATAGTGATCCATTGCCCCACCCCATTCCCCCCCATTGCCACATAGTGATCTACGGACCCCCTGCCACATAGTGAGCCATTACCCCACCCCTTATCCCCCCCATTGCCACATAGTGATCCATCCCCATTCATTCCCCCCCATTGCCACATAGTGATCCATTACCCCACCCCATTCCCCCCCCATTGCCACATAGTGATCCATTACCCCACCCCATTCCCCCCCCATTGCCACATAGTGATCCATCCCCATTCATTCCCCCCATTGCCACATAGTGATCCATTACCCCACCCCTTATCCCCCCATTGCCACATAGTGATCCATTACCCCATTCATTCCCCCCATTGCCACATAGTGATCCATTACCCCGCCCCATTCCCCCCCCCCCCGTTGCCACATAGTGAGCCAAGGTGGGGCCCGCAGGTGTGGAGCAACCAATGGGGGGCGTGGCCTAAGGAGGAAGGGGGCGTGGTCACCGCTGGCCCCGCCCCCCCCCCCCCCCCCCATCGCTCTGCCCTAGACCCGCGGCTACTGGGAGCAACTGGGAGCAACTGGGAGGTACTGGGAGCAATGGGGCGCTATGGGGGCTCTATGGGGCGCTATGGGGGCTCTATGGGGTCTCTATGGGGCTCTATGGGGTCTCTATGGGGCGCTATGGGGCTGGGAGGACTGGGGGAACTGGTTGTACTGGGAGCGGCGGCGCCGGCCGGGCGGGGACTGGGAGGCGATGGGGGGGGGGAATAGGGGGCAATGGGGGCCATACTGGTCTATACTGGTCCATATGGGTCCATACTGGTCTATACTGGTCCATATGGGTCCATACTGGTCTATACTGGTCTATACTGGTCCATATGGGTCCATACTGGTCTATACTGGTCCATACTGGTCTCCTGTTGGTGCTTATGGGTCCATACTGGTCTATACTGGTCTATATGGGTCCATACTGGTCTATACTGGTCCATATGGGTCCATACTGGTCCATACTGGTCTATACTGGTCCATAAGGGTCCATACTGGTCTATACTGGTCCATACTGGTCCATACTGGTCCATACTGGTCTCCTGTTGGTGCTTATGGGTCCATACTGGTCTATACTGGTCTATATGGGTCCATACTGGTCTATACTGGTCTATATGGGTCCATACTGGTCTATACTGGTCTATATGGGTCCATACTGGTCTATACTGGTCCATATGGGTCCATACTGGTCCATACTGGTCTATATGGGTCCATACTGGTCTCTGATTGGTGCTTATGGGTCCATACTGGTCTATACTGGTCCATATGGGTCCATACTGGTCTATACTGGTCCATATGGGTCCATACTGGTCTCTGATTGGTGCTTATGGGTCCATACTGGTCTATACTGGTCCATACTGGTCTCCTATTGGTGCCTATGGGTCCATATTGGTCCATACTGGTCTCTGATTGGTGCTTATGGGTCCATACTGGTCCATACTGGTCTCTGATTGGTGCTTATGGGTCCATATGGGTCCATACTGGTCTATACTGGTCCATACTGGTCCATACTGGTCCATATGGGTCCATACTGGTCTCCTATTGGTGCTTATGGGTCCATACTGGTCCATACTGGTCTCTGATTGGGTCATATTGGCCTTTATGGCGTCATACAGCCACACAGAGCCCCATAGACACCCCATAGAGCCCCATAGACACCCCATAGAGCCCCATACACCCCCATAGTGACCCCATAGAGCCCCACAGACACCCCATAGACCCCACTAGAGACCCCATAGACACCCCATAGAGACCCCATAGAGCCCCATAGACACCCCATAGAGACCCCATAGAGCCCCATAGAGACCCCATAGAGACCCCACAGACCCCCCACTGACCCCCATAGAGCCACCAGAGCCCCATAGAGCCCCACAGACCCCCATAGAGACCCCACAGACACCCCATAGAGCCCCATAAACCCCCATAGAAACCCCATAGAGAACCCAAAGACCCCCACAAAGACCCCATAGACCCACATAGATCCCCATAGACGTCCATAGAGACCCCATAGACACCCATATCCCCCCCATAGAAACCCCATAGAGCCCCATAGAACCCCCATAGACCCCCACAGAAACCCCACAGACCCCCACAGAGACCCCAAAGACCCCCATAGAGCCCCACAGAGCCCCACGGAAACCCCATAGAGCCCCCATAGAGCCCCATAGCACCCCACAGAGGCCCCATAGCACCCCACAGAGCCCCATAGACCCCCATAGAAACCCCATAGACCCCCATAGAAACCCCATAGACCCCCATAGAGAGCCCATAGATACCCCACAGAGCCCCAAAGAGCCCCACAGAGGCCCCAGAGAGCTCCACAGAGGCCCCATAGCACCCCATAGATCCCCATAGAAACCCCATAGACGTCCATAGAGCCCCACAGACCCCCATAGAGACCCCATAGAAACCCCACAGAGCCCCACAGAGACCCCAAAGACCCCCATAGGCCCCCTTTGAAACCCCATAGAGACCCATAGACCCCCCATAGAGCCCCATAGAAACCGCAAAGACCCCCATAGAGCCCCCATATCCGCCCATAGAGCCCCACAGAGGCCCCATAGCACCCCATAGAGCCCCATAGAAACCCCACAGACCCCCCATAGACCCCCATAAACCCCACAGAGCCACACAGAGACCCCATAGACCCCCTTAGACCCCCATAGAGACCCTATAGAGCCCCATAGAACCCCAACAGACCCCATAGAAACCCCACAGACCTCCATATCCCCCCCATAGAGCCCCAAAGACCCCCATAAAGACCCCCACAGATCCCCATAAGACCCCACAGAGCCGCCATAGAGACCCCATAGAGCCCCACAGAACCCCAACAGGCCCCACAGACCCCCCATAGACCCCCATAGACCCCCACAGATCCCCCATAGACCCCCATAGAGACCCCAGAAACCCCCTATAGCCCCCCCCAGAAACCCCATAGAGCCCCCATGGACCCCTATAGCCCCCCCAAGACCCCCACAGAGCCCCATACACCCCCATAGAGACCCCATAGACCTCCACAGACCCCCCAGACCCCACATATCCCCCCACAGACCCCCATAGAGACCCCAAAGACCCCCATAGAGACCCCATATCCCCCCCATAGCGAACCCATAGACCCCCATATCCCCCATATCCCCCCCAGCCCCCCATAGAGACCCCATATCCCCCCCATAGCCCCCCATAGACTCCCATAGAGACGCCACAGACCCCCACAGACACCCCACAGACCCCCATATCCCCCCCATACACCCCCATAGACCCCCCATAGACCCCCATAGAGCCCCCATAGAGCCCATAGACCCCCATAGAAACCCCACAGACCCCCATAGAGACCCCATAGAGCCCCGCAGACCCCCATATCCCCCCATAGATCCCTATAGACCCCCACAGACACCCCATAGACCCCCATATCCCCCCCATAGACCCCCATAAACACCCCATAGACCCCCACAGACCCCCATAGAGACCCCATAGAGCCCCATAGACCCCCATATCCCCCCCATAGACCCCCACAGCCACCGCATAGACCCCCATAGAGCGCCACAGACCCCCCATAGACCCTCATAGAGACCCCATAGAGCCCCGCAGACCCCCATAGCCCCCCCATAGACCCCCACAGACCCCCCATAGACCCCCACAGCCCCCCATAGACCCCCCACAGACCCCCACAGACCCCCATAGAGACCCCATAGACCCTCATAGACCCCCACAGCCCCCCACAGACCCCCATAGAGCCCCATAGACCCCCATAGAGACCCCATAGAGCCCCGCAGACCCCCATAGCCCCCCCATAGACCCCCATAGAGCCCCACAGACCCCCCATAGACCCCCATATCCCCCCCACAGACCCCCATAGACACCCCGTAGACCCCCATAGACCCCCATAGAGACCCCATAGAGCCCCGCAGACCCCCATAGCCCCCCAGAGACCCCCACAGACCCCCACAGCCCCCCATAGACCCCCACAGACCCCCATATCCCCCCCATAGACCCCCACAGACCCCCATAGAGCCCCACAGACCCCCCATAGAACCCCATATCCCCCCACAGACCCCCATAGACACCCCATAGATCCCCATAGACCCCCATAGAGACCCCATAGACCCCCACAGACCCCCCATATCCCCCATAGAGACCCCATTTCCCCCTTTACCTCTCTCTGTTCCTTCCCTCCCTCAGCTCAATGGCGGCCTCCGACCCCGGCGGGACCCAGGCCGCTGGGCCGCCGCCAGCCTCCGAGCTCGGGAGGCCCCGGAGGCGGGGCCCAGGCCCCGGGGCAGCCTCTGGCGCCGCCTGTGCCGCTGCTGCGGGCCCTGCTGCGGCCGCTCCTCCGCGGGGCCCTGGGAGCCCGACTCACGCGAGGCCCCGGCTCGGCGCGGCCTGCAGGCCCCGCGGCCTGGTCAGTGCGCGTTGGGAGTAGTCAAGCCTCAGGGCCATAGGAGCTGTTGGGGCCTAGGAGGGGGGCGTTGGGAGTAGTGAAGCCTGCGGGACCTTTTCGGGGGGGGGGGGGGGGGGGGGGGCATCCCATAATACCCATCCCAAGTCCCACTTTTAGACATGAATTCTCACTTTTTAGCCCCAAATTCCCAATTTTAAGCCCCAAATTCTCACATTTTAGCCCCAAATTCTCACTTTTTAGCCCCAAATTCCCACTTTTTGGCCCCAAATTCTCACTTTCTAGCCCCAAATTCTCACTTTTAAGCCCCAAATTCTCACTTTTTAGCCCCAAATTCTCACTTTTTAGCCCCAAATTCCCACTTTTTGGCCCCAAATTCACACTTTCTAGCCCCAAATTCTCACTTTTTAGCCCCAAATTCCCCCTTTTTATCCCCAAATTCCCGCTTTCTTGACACAAAATTCACATTTTTGGACCCAAATTTCCCCTTTTTGGACCAAATTCCCACTTTTTGCTCAAAATTCCCATTTTTGGCCCCAAATTCCTCCTTTCCCCCGGAATTTCCACCTTTTTTTGCCCCAAATTCACCCTTTTTGGCCCCAAATTCCTCTTTTTGACCCAATTTCCCCCTTTTTGGCCTCAAATTTCCCCTTTCTGACCCAAATTCCCACTTTTTTTTTCTCAAAATTCCCATTTTTGCAGCCAAATTTCTCCTTTTTGGCCCCAAATTCCCACTTTTTAGCCCCAAATTCCCACTTTTTTTGCCCCAAATTCCCCCTTTTTAGCCCCAAATTCCCACTTTTTGTCCCAAATTCTCCATTTTTGACCCAAATTCCCTCTTTCAGACCCAAAATTCCCACTTTTTGGCCCAAATTTCCCATGTTTTGGAGCCAAATTTCTCCTTTTTGGCCCCAAATTCCCGCTTTCTTGGCCCAAAATTCCCATTTTTGGCCCCCAAATTTCCCCTTTTTCCCCAAATTCCCACTTTTTTTTTTGTCCCAAATTCCTCCCTTTTTGCCCCAAATTCCCACCATTTATTTTGCCCCAAATTCCCATTTCTGGACACAAATTTCTCCTTTTTGGCCCCAAATTCCCCCTTTTTGACCCCAAATTTCCACTTTTTTGCCCAAATTCCCACTTTTTGGACCCAAATTCCCACTTCTGGCCCCAAATTTCCCCTTTTTTGCCCAAATTTCTCCTTTTTAGCCCCAAATTCCCACTTTCTTGACCCAAAATTCCCCTTTTTGGCCCAAAATTTCCCCTTTTTGGACCAAATTTCCACTTTTTTTTGCCCCAAATTCCCATTTCTGGACACAAATTTCTCCTTTTTAGCCCCAAATTCCCCCTTTTTGACCCCAAACTCCCTCTTTCTGACCCAAATTCCCACCTTTTTGGCCCAAATTTCCCATTTTTTGAAGCCAAATTTCTAGTTTTTGGCCCCAAAATTCCATTCCCCCCCCCCCCAATTCCCCTTTCTGGCCCCATATTTCCCCTTTTGGGCTCCAAATACCCACTTTTTGGCCCCAAATTCCCCCTTTTGGCCCCAAATTCCCCCTTTTTTGCCCCAAATTCCCATTTCTGGACACAAATTCCTCCCTTTTGGCCCCAAATTCCCCCTTTTTCCCCAAATTCCCACTTTTTTTGCCCCAAATTCCCCCTTTTGGGCCCAAAATTCCCCCTTTGGACCCAAATTCCCTCTTTGGGCCCCAAATTCCCCCTTTTTTCCCCCAAATTCCTCTTTTTTGCCCCTAATTCCTACCTTTTAACCTGAATTCCCTCTTTTTTGCCCCAAATTCCCCCTCTTTGGACCCAAATTCCCCCTTTTTTGGCTCCAAATTTCCCCTTTTGGGCCCCAAATTCCCACTTTTTGGACCCAAATTCCCACTTTTTGGCCCCAAATTACCCTCTTGCCCCAAATTCCCCTTTTTGACCCCAAATTCCTCCGTTTTGGCCCCAGATTCCTTTTTTTGGCCCCAAATTTCCCCTTTTTATCTCCAAATTCCCCTTTTTGGACCCAAAATTCCCACTTTTTTGCCCCAAATTCCTCCTTTTTCACCCCAAATTCCCACTTTTTTGCCCCAAATTCCTCCTTTTTCACCCCAAATTCCCACTTTTTTGCCCCAAATTCCTCCTTTTTCACCCCAAATTCCCACTTTTTTGCCCAAATTCCCACTTTTTGGCCCCAAATTCCCTCTTTATGGCCCTAAATTCCCACTTTATGGCCCCAAATTCCCTTTTTTTGGCACCAAATTCCTGCCTTTTTGGCACCAAAATTCCATTTTTTTCCCCCAAATTCCCATTTTTGGCCCCATATTTCACCTTTTTGGCTCCAAATTCCCACTTTTTGCCCCAAATTCCCCTTTTTTGGCCCCAAATTCCCTCTTTTGGACCCAAATTCCCCCTTTTTAGCCCCATTTACATTCTTCTTGGACCATTTTTGCCCATTTTGGGCCCATTTATGCGATTTTAGGTCCATTTTGATCCATTTTGAGTCCATTTTTGTCCGTTTTGGGTCCATTCCCCTCCATTTTGGGTCCATTTATGGCCATTTTGGGTCAATTTTCATCCATTTTGGGTCCATTTATGTCCATTTTAGGTCCATTCCCATCCATTTTGGGTCCATTTATGTCCATTTTCCGACCATTTATGTCCATTTTGGGTTCATTCCCATCCATTTTTTTGTCCGTTTCCATCCATTTTGGGTCAATTTTCATCCATTTTGGGTCCATTTATGTCCATTTATGTCCATTTATGTCCATTTTTTGTCCATTTATGTTCATTTTGGGTCCATTCATGTCCATTTTTTGTCCATTTATGTCCATTTTGGGTCCATTCTCATCGATTTTTTGTCCATTTATGTCCATTTTGGGTCCATTTATGTCCATTTTGGGTCCATTCTCATCCATTTTGGGTCCATTCTCATCCATTTTGGGTCTATTCTCATCCATTTTTTGTCCATTTCTGTCCATTTTGGGTCCATTTCCATCCATTTTTCATCCATTTTGGGTCCATTTATGTCCATTTTGGGTCCATTCCCATCCATTTTTTGTCCATTTCCATCCATTTTGGGTCCATTCATGTCCATTTTTCATCCATTTCTGTCCATTTTGGGTCCATTTTCATCCATTTTTTGTCCATTTCCATCCATTTTAGGTCATTTTATGTCCATTTAGGGTCCATTTATGTCCATTTTGGGTCCATTCCCATCCATTTTTCATCCATTTATGTCCATTTTTTGTCCATTTCCATCCATTTTGGGTCCATTTCCATCCATTTTAGGTCATTTTATGTCCATTTAGGGTCCATTTATGTCCATTTTGGGTCCATTCCCATCCATTTTTCATCCATTTTTGTCCATTTTGGGTCCATTTACGTCCATTTAGGGTCCATTTATGTCCATTTTGGGTCCATTTATGTCCATTTTTCGTCCATTTTTCGTCCATTTTGGGTCCATTTATGTCTATTTTGGGTCCATTCCCATCCATTTTGGGTCCATTTTTGTCCATTTTGGGTCCATTTTCATCCATTTTGGGTCCATTTATGTCCATTTTGGGTCCATTCTTATCCGTTTTGGGTCCATTCCCATCCATTTTTCATCCATTTATGTCCATTTTGGGTCCATTTCTGTCCATTTTGGGTTCATTTTTGTCCATTTTGGGTCCATTTCCATCCATTTTTCATCCATTTTGGGTCCATTTCTGTCCATTTCGGGTCCATTTCCATCCATTCTGGGTCCCTTCCCCCCCATCCATTCCCCCCCCCTCTGACCCCTCTGACCCCGCTGACCCCTCCTCCCCCTCCAATCCCCTCAGGGCAGCTGGTGCCGCGGGGCCTCGCCATTGGCTGCCCGCGGGACCCCCTTTTAGGTCCATTTCAGTCCATTTTGGGCACATTTATGTCCATTTTTCGTCCATTTATGTCCATTTTCGGTACATTTATGTCCATTTTGGGTCCATTCCCATCCATTTAGGGTCCATTTATGTCCATTTTGGGTCCATTCCCATCCATTTTTCATCCATTTACGTCCATTTTGGGTCCATTTCCATCCATTTTGGGTCCATTTTTGTCCATTTTGGGTCCATTCCCATCCATTTTGGGTCCATTCCCATCCATTTTAGGTCCTTTTATGTCCATTTCGGGTCCATTCCCATCCATTTTTTGTCCATTTCCATCCATTTTGGGTCCATTCATGTCCATTTTTCATCCATTTCTGTCCATTTTGGGTCCATTTTCATCCATTTTGGGTCCATTTTCATCCATTTTGGGTCCATTTTCATCCATTTTGGGTCCATTTTTGTCCATTTTGGCTCCATTCATGTCCATTTTGGGTCCATTTTTGTCCATTTTGGGTCCATTTTCATCCATTTTGGGTCCATTTTTGTCCATTTTGGCTCCATTCATGTCCATTTTGGGTCCATTTTTGTCCATTTTGGGTCCATTTTCATCCATTTTGGGTCCATTTTCATCCATTTTGGGTCCATTTTTGTCCATTTTGGCTCCATTCATGTCCATTTTGGGTCCATTTTTGTCCATTTTGGGTCCATTTTCATCCATTTTGGGTCCATTTTTGTCCATTTTGGCTCCATTTATGTCCATTTTGGGTCCATTTATGTCCATTTTGGGTCCATTCCCATCCATTTTTCATCCATTTATGTCCATTTTGGGTCCATTTATGTCCATTTTGGGTGCATTTATGTCCATTTTGGGTCCATTCCCATCCATTTTGGGTCCATTTATGTCCATTTCGGGTCCATTCCCATCCATTTTTCGTCCATTTCCATCCATTTTGGGTCCATTCATGTCCATTTTTCATCCATTTCTGTCCATTTTGGGTCCATTTTCATCCATTTTGGGTCCATTTTCATCCATTTTGGGTCCATTTTTGTCCATTTTGGGTCCATTTTCATCCATTTTGGGTCCATTTTTGTCCATTTTGGCTCCATTTATGTCCATTTTGGGTCCATTTATGTCCATTTTGGGTCCATTCCCATCCATTTTTCATCCATTTATGTCCATTTTGGGTCCATTTATGTCCATTTTGGGTGCATTTATGTCCATTTTGGGTCCATTCCCATCCATTTTGGGTCCATTTATGTCCATTTCGGGTCCATTCCCATCCATTTTTCGTCCATTTCCATCCATTTTGGGTCCATTCATGTCCATTTTTCATCCATTTCTGTCCATTTTGGGTCCATTTTCATCCATTTTGGGTCCATTTCTGTCCATTTTGGGTCCATTTCCATCCATTTTTCATCCATTTTGGGTCCATTCATGTCCATTTTGGGTCCATTTCTGTCCATTTCGGGTCCATTCCCATCCATTCTGGGTCCCTTCCCCCCCATCCATCCCCCCGCCCTCTGACCCCGCTGACCCCTCCTCCCCCTCCAATCCCCTCAGGGCAGCTGGTGCCGCGGGGCCTCGCCATTGGCTGCCCGCGGGACCCCCTTTTAGGTCCATTTCAGTCCATTTTGGGCACATTTATGTCCATTTTTCGTCCATTTATGTCCATTTTCGGTACATTTATGTCCATTTTGGGTCCATTCCCATCCATTTAGGGTCCATTTATGTCCATTTTGGGTCCATTCCCATCCATTTTTCATCCATTTATGTCCATTTTGGGTCCATTTCCATCCATTTTGGGTCCATTTTTGTCCATTTTGGGTCCATTCCCATCCATTTTGGGTCCATTCCCATCCATTTTAGGTCCTTTTATGTCCATTTCGGGTCCATTCCCATCCATTTTTCGTCCATTTCCATCCATTTTGGGTCCATTCATGTCCATTTTTCATCCATTTCTGTCCATTTTGGGTCCATTTTCATCCATTTTGGGTCCATTTTCATCCATTTTGGGTCCATTTTTGTCCATTTTGGCTCCATTCATGTCCATTTTGGGTCCATTTCTGTCCATTTTGGGTCCATTTCCATCCATTTTTCATCCATTTTGGGTCCATTTCTGTCCATTTCGGGTCCATTTCCATCCATTCTGGGTCCCTTCCCCCCCATCCATCCCCCCGCCCTCTGACCCCGCTGACCCCTCCTCCCCCTCCAATCCCCTCAGGGCAGCTGGTGCCGCGGGGCCTCGCCATTGGCTGCCCGCGGGACGCCGCCGCCCACCACACGGCCGACTTCCGGGCGCCGGTGCCGGTGCTGCGGCGGGGGCAGGGCTTCGCCGTGCGCCTCCTCCTGCCCCGCCCCCTCGACCGCGACCGCGACGGCCTCTGCCTGGAGCTCACCTTGGGTATGGGGGGGGAAAAGAGGTGGGGGAGGGGGGGAAATGCCTTTTTCCCGGCATTTCCCGGCATTTCCCGGCATTTCCCGGCATTTCCATGCTCTTTTCGAGTTTTCCCGCCTTTTTTGCGTCATTTCCCCGCCTTTTTCACGGTTTCCCGCCTTTTTCCCAGCCGTTTCCCGCCTTTTTTGCCATAAGTTTCCTGCACTTTTTTGCTTTTTCCCGCCTGTTTCCCATCGGTTTCCCGCCCTTTCTTAGCTTTTTCCTGCCTGTTTCCCTTATTTTCCCGCCCTTTTAACGTTTTCCCGCCTGTTTCCCATCATTTTCCCGCCCTTTTAACCTTTTCCCACCGGTTTCCCATATTTTTCCCACCCTTTCTTAGCTTTTTCCCGCCTGTTTCTCATCGTTTTCCCGCCCTTTTAACCTTTTCCCGCCTGTTTCCCATCGTTTTCCCACCCTTTTAACCTTTTCCCGCCTGTTTCCCATATTTTTCCCGCCCTTTTTGACGTTTTCCCATATTTTTTTTCCATCATGTTCCCACCCTTTCTTAGCTTTTCCCCACCTTTTTAACCTTTTCCCGCCTTTTTCCCATAAGTTTCCTGCACTTTTAGCTTTTTCCCGCCTGTTTCCCATCGGTTTCCCGCCCTTTCAACCTTTTCCCGCCTTTTTCCCATAAGTTTCCTGCACTTTTTGCTTTTTCCCGCCTGTTTCCCATCGTTTTCCCGCCCTTTTAACCTGTTCCCGCCCTTTTCCCATCACATTCCCGCCTTTTCTTAGCTTTTTCCTGCCTGTTTCCCATCATTTTCCCGCCTTTTAACCTTTTCCCGCCGGTTTCCCATATTTTTCCCACCCTTTCTTAGCTTTTTCCCGCCTGTTTCCCATATTTTTCCCGCCCTTTTAACGTTTTCCCGCTTTTTTCCATCATGTTCCCACCCTTTCTTAGCTTTTTCCCACCTTTTTCCCATAAGTTTCCTGCACTTTTAGCTTTTTCCCGCCTGTTTCCCATCGTTTTCCCGCCCTTTCAACCTTTTCCCGCCTTTTTGCATTAAGTTTCCTGCACTTTTTGCTTTTTCCCGCCTGTTTCCCATCATTTTCCCGCCCTTTTAACCTTTTCCCGCCTGTTTCCCATATTTTTCCCGCCCTTTCTTAGCTTTTTCCCGCCTCTTTCCCATATTTTTCCCACCATTTTAACGTTTTCCCGCCTTTTTTCCATCATGTTCCCACCCTTTCTTTGCTTTTTCCCGCCCTTTCAACCTTTTCCCGCCTTTTTCCCATAAGTTTCCTGCACTTTTAGCTTTTTCCCGCCTGTTTCCCATCGTTTTCCCACCCTTTCTTACCTTTTTCCCGCCTGTTTCCCATCTTTTTCCCGCCCTTTTAACCTTTTCCCGCCTGTTTCCCATCATTTTCCCACCCTTTTAACCTGTTCCCGCCCTTTTCCCATCGTTTTCCCGCCCTTTCTTAGCTTTTTCCTGCCTGTTTCCCTTATTTTCCCGCTTTTAACCTTTTCCCGCCTGTTTCCCATCGTTTTCCCGCCCTTTTAACGTTTTCCCGCCTGTTTCCCATCATTTTCCCGCCCTTTTAACCTTTTCCCGCCTGTTTCCCATCTTTTTCCCGCCCTTTCTTAGCTTTTTCCCGCCTGTTTCCCATATTTTTCCCACCCTTTTAACGTTTTCCCGCTTTTTTTCCTTCATGTTCCCACCCTTTCTTAGCTTTTCCCCACCTTTTTAACCTTTTCCCAGCTTTTTGCCATAAGTTTCCTGCACTTTTTGCTTTTTCCCGCCTGTTTCCCATCGTTATCCCGCCCTTTTAACGTTTTCCCGCCTGTTTCCCATCTTTTTCCCATCCTTTTAACCTTTTCCCGCCTGTTTCCCATCTTTTTCCCGCCCTTTCTTAGCTTTTTCCTGCCTGTTTCCCATATTTTTCCCACCCTTTTAATGTTTTCCCGCCTTTTTCCCATCATGTTCCCGCCCTTTCTTAACTTTTTCACGCCTGTTTCCCATCATTTTCCCGCCCTTTTAATGTTTTCCCGCCTTTTTCCCATCGTTTTCCCGCCCTTGTAATGTTTTCCCGCCTTTTTGATGTCGTTTTCCCGCCCTTTTAACCTTTTCCCGCCTGTTTCCCATCATTTCCCTGCCCTTTCAACGTTTTCCCGCCTTTTCCCAGCACGTTCCCGCCCTTTCTTAGCTTTTTCTCACCTTTTCCACACCCTTTTAAATTTTTCCCGCCATTTTCGCGTCATTTCCCCACTCTTTTTAATGATTTCCCGCCTTTTTCCCATCACATTCCCGCCCTTTCTTTGCTTTTTCCCACCTGTTTCCCATCATTTTCCCGCCCTTTCTTAGCTTTTTCCCGCCTGTTTTCCATAATTTTCCCGCCCTTTCTTAGCTTTTTCCCGCCTGTTTCCCATCATTTTACCGCTCTTTTAATGCTTTCCCACCTTTTTTCCCATCTTTTCCCCGCCCTTTTCTTCCTTTTCCCCGCCCTTTTTGACGTTTTCCCGCTTCTTTTTTTTACCTTTTTTCCCTCCTTTTTTGCATCATTCCCCGCCTTTTTAACATTTTCCCGCCTTTTCCCCATCATTTTCCCGCTCTTTTAATGCTTCCCCGCCTTCTCCTCACCATTTCCCCGCCTTTTTAACATTTTCCCGCCTTTTCCCCATCATTTTCCCGCTCTTTTAATGCTTTCCCGCCTTCTCCTCACCATTTCCCCGCCTTTTTAACATTTTCCCGCCTTTTCCTCATCATTTTCCCGCTCTTTTAATGCTTTCCCGCCTTCTCCCCATCTTTTCCCCGCCCTTTTGACATTTCCCCGCCCTTTCTGTCATTTCCCCGCCCCTTTTGTCATTTCCCCGCCCTTTTTGTCATTTCCCCGCCCTTTCTGTCGTTTCCCCGCCTTTTTTTGGTCGTTTTCCCGCGTTTTTTCCCTGTTTTTTTTTGACGTTTTTCCCGCCTTTTCCTCCCTCCGTCCCCTCCCCCCCCCTTTTTTTTTTCCCGCCGCCATGACGTCACGCCGCAGGCCCCACCCCCCAGGTGGCCAAGGGCACTCACGTCCTCATCCCATTGGGCGAGAGCTCGGCCACCGGTTGGACGGCGGAGGAGGAGGAGGGGGAGGAGGAGGAGGGGGCGGAGCCAAGCGGAGGCCACGCCCTCCGCCTCCGCGTCACGGCCCCGCCCCACGCCCCCATTGGCCGCTACCGGCTGAGCGTGCGCACGCGCACCCAGGAGGGCGGGGAGTACGCGGCGCCCTTCGACGAGCGCAATGACGTCATCATCCTCTTCAACCCCTGGTGCCCCGGTGAGAGACCGCTTCTTGGGGCGAAAAAGGGCATTTTTGGGCAAAAAAAAGGGGCTTTTTGGGTGAAAAAAGGGCGTTTTTGGGCAAAAAAGGGAGGATTTGGGAAAAAAAAGGGGCATTTTGGGGGGAAAAAGGGCTTTTTTGGGCAAAAAAGGAAAGGGCTTTTTTTGGCAAAAAAGGGCTTTTTGGGTGAAAAAAAAGGGCATTTTTGGGTAAAAAAGGGCATTTTTGGGTAAAAAAGGGCATTTTGGGGCAAAAAAAGGCTTTTTGGGTGAAAAAAGGGCGTTTTGGGGCAAAAAAGGGCCATTTTTGGGGCAAAAAAGGTGTTTTTGGGTGAAAAAAGGGCAGATTTGGGAAAAAAAAGGGGCATTTTGGGGGGAAAAAGGGCTTTTTTGGGCAAAAAAGGAGAGGGCTTTTTTTGGCAAAAAAGGGCTTTTTGGGTGAAAAAAAGGGCATTTTTGGGTAAAAAAGGGCATTTTTGGGCAAAAAAAGGCTTTTTGGGTGAAAAAAGGGCGGTTTTGGGCAAAAAAGGGCCATTTTTGGGGAAAAAAGGTCTTTTTGGGTGAAAAAAGGGCGGATTTGGGAAGAAAAAAAGGGGCATTTTTGGGGAAAAAGGGCTTTTTGGGTGAAAAAAAGGCAGATTTGGGCAAAAAAAGGGGCATTTTGGGGCAAAAAAAGGGCTTTTTGGGTGAAAAAAGGGCAGATTTGGGCAAAAAAGGGGCATTTTTTGGGGAAAAAGGGTGTTTTTGGGCAAAAAAGGGCTTTTGGGGTGAAAAAAAGGGCTTTTTGGGGCAAAAAAGGGCTTTTTGGGTGAAAAAAGGGCAGATTTGGGAAAAAAAGGGGCATTTTTGGAGGGAAAAAGGGCAGATTTGGGCAAAAAGGGGCTTTTTTTGGGGAAAAAGGGCGTTTTTGGGTGAAAAAAAGGGCATTTTTGGGTAAAAAAGGGCATTTTTGGGCAAAAAAAGGCTTTTTGGGTGAAAAAAGGGCGTTTTTGGGCAAAAAAGGGCCATTTTTGGGCAAAAAAGGTCTTTTTGGGTGAAAAAAGGTCGGATTTGGGCAAAAAAAGGGGCATTTTTGGGGGAAAAGGGCTTTTTGGGTGAAAAAAAAGGGCGTTTTGGGGCAAAAAAGGGCCATTTTTGGGCAAAAAAGGTCTTTTTGGTGAAAAAAGGGCGGATTTGGGCAAAAAAAGGGGCATTTTGGGGGGGGAAAGGGGCATTTTTTGGGGGAAAAGGGATTTTTGGGTGATAAAAGGGCAGATTTGGGCAAAAAAAGAGGGCTTTTTTTTTGGGAAAAGGCAGATTTGGGAAAAAAAAGCTTTTTGGGTGAAAAAAGGGCATTTTTGGGTGAAAAAAGGGCATTTTTGAGCAAAAAAGGGCTTTTTGGGTGAAAAAAGGGCAGATTTGGGCAAAAAAGGGGCATTTTGGGGTGAAAAAGGGTTTTTGGGTGAAAAAAGGTCGGATTTGGGAAAAAAAAGGGGCATTTTTGGGGGAAAAGGGCTTTTTGGGTGAAAAAAAGGGCGTTTTTGGGGAAAAAAGGGCTTTTTGGGTGAAAAAAGGCTTTTTGGGTGAAAAAAGGGCGTTTTTGGGCAAAAAAGGGCCATTTTTGGGGAAAAAAGGTCTTTTTGGGTGAAAAAAGGGCGGATTTGGGCAAAAAAAAGGGGCGTTTTTGGGCGAAAAAAGGGCGTTTTTGGGCAAAAAGGGCGTTTTTGGGCAAAAAAAGCATTTTTGGGTAAAAAAGGGCATTTTTGGGCAAAAAAAGGCTTTTTGGGTGAAAAAAGGGAGGATTTGGGAAAAAAAAGTGGCATTTTGGGGGGAAAAAGGGCTTTTTTGGGCAAAAAAGGAAAGGGCTTTTTTTGGCAAAAAAGGGCTTTTTGGGTGAAAAAAAAGGGCATTTTTGGGTAAAAAAGGGCATTTTTGGGTAAAAAAGGGCATTTTTGGGCAAAAAAAGGCTTTTTGGGTGAAAAAAGGGCGTTTTTGGGCAAAAAAGGGCCATTTTTGGGGCAAAAAAGGTCTTTTTGGGTGAAAAAAGGGCAGATTTGGGCAAAAAAAAGGGCATTTTTTGGGGAAAAGGGGCATTTATTTGGGGAAAAGGGGTTTTTGGGTGAAAAAAGGGCAGATTTGGGCAAAAAAAGGGGCATTTTGGGGGGAAAAGGGCGTTTTGGGGCAAAAAAAGGGGCTTTTTGGGTGAAAAAGGGCAGATTTGGGCAAAAAAGGGGCATTTTGGGGGGGAAAAGGGCAGATTTGGGCAAAAAAAGGGGCATTTTGGGTGAAAAAGGGCATTTTTGGGCAAAAAAGGGCTTTTTGGGTGAAAAAAGGGCAGATTTGGGAAAAAAAAGCTTTTTGGGTGAGAAAAGGGCATTTTTGAGCAAAAAAGGGCTTTTGGGGTGAAAAAAGGGCAGATTTGGGCAAAAAAAGGGGCATTTTGGGGCAAAAAAAGGGCTTTTTGGGTGAAAAAGGGGCAGATTTGGGCAAAAAAGGGGCATTTTTTGGGGAAAAAGGGTGTTTTTGGGCAAAAAAGGGCTTTTGGGGTGAAAAAAAGGCAGATTTGGGGAAAAAAGGGGCATTTTTGGAGGGAAAAAAGGGCAGATTTGGGCAAAAAAGGGGCATTTTTGGGGGAAAAGGGCATTTTTGGGGTGAAAAAGGGCAGTTTGGAGCAAAAAGGAGGCTTTGGGGTCTCTATGACTCTCTATGGGCTTTCTATGGGCCTCTATAGGTCTCTATAGGTCTCTATGGGTGTCTATGGGTCTCTATGGGGTGTCTATGGGTCTCTATGGGTTCCTATAGAGTCTCTATGGGTCCCTATGGGGTCTCTATGGGGTCTCTGTGGGTCTCTATGGATCTCTTGTGGTCCCTATGGGTCTCTATGGAGTCCCTCTAGGTCTCTATGTGTCCCTATAGGTCCCTATGGGTCTCTATGGGTCCCTATGGGTCTCTATGGGTCCCTATGGGGTCTCTGTCTGTTGATATAGGTCCCTATGAGACCCTATGGGGTCTCTATGGGGTCCCTATAGGTCCCTATTGGTCTCTATGGGGTCTCTATGGTTCCCTATGGGTCTCTATGGGGTCTCTATGGTTCCCTATGTGTCCCTATGGTTCCCTATGGGTCTCAATGAGCCCCCTATGGGTCCGTCCCCCCCCCCCCCAGAGGACTCGGTGTTCATGGAGCCCACGTCGGACCTGGCCGAGTACGTCCTCAACGAGAGCGGGCGCATCTTCTACGGCACCGAGGACCAGATCGTCGAGCGCTCCTGGAACTACGGGCAGGTAAAAAAAAAAACCCACCAAAAACACCCAAAAACGCCCTTTTTCCACCCAAAAAACGCCCTCAACGCCGCGGGCACACCGAGACGAGCCGAACGCACCCAAAAACGTGCCGTTTCCACCCGAAATGGGGGTGGAAATGGGGGTGGGAAGGGGACAACCCCATATTGATGTGGTACGGGGTCTACGAGTGATGGAGATGCTGTAAGTGGTCAAAAGGACCCAAAATCGTTGGGTTTTGACCCAAAATGGAGGTGGAAAATGTCATAATAGGGTTGGAGACTCCATAAATGGTCAAAAGGACCCAAAATCGTTGGGTTTTGACCCAAAAATTGAGGTTGAAAACGTCATAATGGGGTTGGAGACTCCATAAATGGTCAAAAGGACCCAAAATCGTTGGGTTTTGACCCAAAATCGAGGTGGAAATGGGGGTTGGAAGGGGACACCCCATATTGATGTGGTATGGGGTCTACGAGTGATGGAGATGCTGTAAGTGGTCAAAAGGACCCAAAATCGTTGGGTTTTGACCCAAAATCGTTGGGTTTTGACCCAAAATTGAGGTGGAAAATGTCATAATGGGGTTGGAAACCTCAAAAGTGGTCAAAAAGAGCCAAAATCGTTGGGTTTTGGCCCAAAAATTGAGGTGGAAAACATCATAATGGGGTTGGGGACCTCAAAAGTGGTCAAGAAGACCCAAAATCGTTGGGTTTTGACCCAAAATCGTTGGGTTTCAACCCAAAAATGGAGGTGGAAAACGTCATAATGGGGTTGGAAACCTCAAAAGTGGTCAAAAAGAGCCAAAATCGTTGGGTTTTGACCCAAAATTGAGGTGGAAAATGTCATAATGGGGTTGGGAACCTCAAAAGTGGTCAAAAAGAGCCAAAATCGTTGGGTTTTGACCCAAAAATTGAGGTGGAAAACATCATAATGGGGTTGGGGACCTCAAAAGTGGTCAAAAAGAGCCAAAATCGTTGGGTTTTGACCCAAAATCGTTGGGTTTTGACCCAAAAATGGAGGTGGAAAACATCATAATGGGGTTGGGGGCCTCAAAAGTGGTCAAGAAGACCCAAAATCGTTGGGTTTTGACCCAAAATCGTTGGGTTTCAACCCAAAAATGGAGGTGGAAAATGTCATAATGGGGTTGGAAACCTCAAAAGTGGTCAAGAGGACCCAAAATCGTTGGGTTTTGACCCAAAATCGAGGTGGAAAACATCATAATGGGGTTGGAAACCTCAAAAATGGTCAAAAAGAGCCAAAATCGTTGGGTTTTGACCCAAAATCGTTGGGTTTCAACCCAAAAATTGAGGTGGAAAACATCATAATGGGGTTGGGGACCTCAAAAGTGGTCAAGAAGACCCAAAATCGTTGGGTTTTGACCCAAAATCGTTGGGTTTCAACCCAAAAATGGAGGTGGAAAATGTCATAATGGGGTTGGAAACCTCAAAAGTGGTCAAGAGGACCCAAAATCGTTGGGTTTCAACCCAAAAATCGAGGTGGAAAATGTCATAATGGGGTTGGGGACCTCAAAAGTGGTCAAAAAGAGCCAAAATCGTTGGGTTTTGACCCAAAATCGTTGGGTTTCAACCCAAAAATGGAGGTGGAAAATGTCATAATGGGGTTGGAAACCTCAAAAGTGGTCAAAAAGAGCCAAAATCGTTGGGTTTTGACCCAAAATCGTTGGATTTTGACCCAAAATCAAGGTGGAAAACATCATAATGGGGTTGGAAACCTCAAAAGTGGTCAAAAAGAGCCAAAATCGTTGGGTTTTGACCCAAAATTGAGGTGGAAAATGTCATAATGGGGTTGGAAACCTCAAAAGTGGTCAAAAAGAGCCAAAATCGTTGGGTTTTGACCCAAAATTGAGGTGGAAAATGTCATAATGGGGTTGGGGACCTCAAAAGTGGTCAAAAAGAGCCAAAATCGTTGGGTTTTGACCCAAAATCGAGGTGGAAATGGGGGTTGGAAGGGGACACCCCATATTGATGTGGTACGGGGTCTACGAGTGATGGAGATGCTGTAAGTGGTCAAAAGGACCCAAAATCGTTGGGTTTTGACCCAAAATCGAGGTGGAAAACATCATAATGGGGTTGGAGACTCCATAAATGGTCAAAAGGACCCAAAATCGTTGGGTTTTGACCCAAAATTAGGGTTGAAAACGTCATAATGGGGTTGGAGACTCCATAAATGGTCAAAAGGACCCAAAATCGTTGGGTTTTGACCCAAAATTGAGGTGGAAAATGTCATAATGGGGTTGGAGACTCCATAAATGGTCAAAAGGACCCAAAATCGTTGGGTTTTGACCCAAAAATTGAGGTGGCAAACATCATAATGGGGTTGGGGACCTCAAAAGTGGTCAAGAAGACCCAAAATCGTTGGGTTTTGACCCAAAATCGTTGGGTTTCAACCCAAAAATGGAGGTGGAAAACATCATAATGGGGTTGGAGACTCCATAAATGGTCGAAAGGACCCAAAATCGTTGGGTTTTGACCCAAAAATTGAGGTGGAAAACATCATAATGGGGTTGGGGACCTCAAAAGTGGTCAAGAAGACCCAAAATCGTTGGGTTTTGACCCAAAATCGTTGGGTTTCAACCCAAAAATGGAGGTGGAAAATGTCATAATGGGGTTGGAAACCTCAAAAGTGGTCAAAAAGAGCCAAAATCGTTGGGTTTTGACCCAAAAATTGAGGTGGAAAACATCATAATGGGGTTGGGGACCTCAAAAGTGGTCAAGAAGACCCAAAATCGTTGGGTTTTGACCCAAAATCGAGGTGGAAAACATCATAATGGGGTTGGAGACTCCATAAATGGTCAAAAGGACCCAAAATCGTTGGGTTTTGACCCAAAATGGAGGTGGAAATGGGGGTTGGAAGGGGACACCCCATATTGATGTGGTACGGGGTCTACGAGTGATGGAGATGCTGTAAGTGGTCAAAAGGACCCAAAATCGTTGGGTTTTGACCCAAAATCGAGGTGGAAAATGTCATAATAGGGTTGGAGACTCCATAAATGGTCAAAAGGACCCAAAATCGTTGGGTTTTGACTCAAAATTAGGGTTGAAAACGTCATAATGGGGTTGGAGACTCCATAAATGGTCAAAAGGATCCAAAATCGTTGGGTTTTGACCCAAAATTGGGGTGGGTCTGACCCCAATGATGTGGGTCTGCCCCATTGATGTGGGTCTGATCCCATTGATTTGGGTCTGGCCCCATTGATGTGGGTCTGATCCCATTGATGTCTATCAGGCCCATTGATGTGGGTCTACCCCATTGATGTGGGTCTGCCCCATTGATGCGGATCTGATCCCATTGATGTGGGTCTGATCCCATTGATTTGGGTCCGGCCCCATTGATGTGAGTCTGATCCCATTGATGTGGGTCTGATCCCATTGATGTGGGTCTGCCCCATTGATGTGGGTCTGCCCCATTGTTGTGGGTCTGATCCCAATGATGTGGGTCTGATCCCATTGATGTGGGTCTGATCCCATTGATGTGGGTCTGATCCCAATGATGTGGGTCTGATCCCATTGATGTGGGTCTGATCCCATTGATGTGGGTCCGATCCCATTGTTGTGGGTCTGGCCCCATTGATGTGGGTCCGGCCCCATTGATGTGGGTCTGCCCCATTGATTTGGGTCTGGCCCCATTGATGTGAGTCTGATCCCATTGATGTGGGTCCGGCCCCATTGATGTGAGTCTGATCCCATTGATGTGGGTCTGCCCCATTGATGTGGGTCTGATCCCATTGATGTGGGTCTGCCCCATTGATGTGGGTCTGATCCCATTGATGTGGGTCTACCCCATTGATGTGGGTCTGATCCCATTGATGTGAGTCTGATCCCATTGATGTGGGTCTGATCCCATTGATGTGGGTCTGCCCCATTGTTGTGGGTCTGGCCCCATTGATGTCTGTCAGCCCCATTGATGTGGGTCTGATCCCATTGATGTGGGTCTGATCCCATTGATGTGGGTCTGATCCCCATTGATGTGGGTCTGATCCCATTGATGTGGGTCTGATCCCATTGTTGTGGGTCTGATCCCATTGATGTGGGTCTGATCCCATTGATGTGGGTCTGCCCCATTGATGTGAGTCTGATCCCATTGATGTGGGTCTGATCCCATTGATGTGGGTCTGCCCCATTGATGTGGGTCCGCCCCATTGATGTGGGTCTGATCCCATTGATGTGGGTCCGGCCCCATTGATGTGAGTCTGATCCCATTGATGTGGGTCTGCCCCATTGATGTGGGTCTGATCCCATTGATGTGGGTCTGCCCCATTGATGTGGGTCTGATCCCATTGATGTGGGTCTACCCCATTGATGTGGGTCTGATCCCATTGATGTGGGTCTGCCCCATTGTTGTGGGTCTGCCCCATTGATGTGGGTCTGATCCCATTGATGTGGGTCTGATCCCATTGATGTGGGTCTGCCCCATTGTTGTGGGTCTGCCCCATTGATGTGGGTCTGATCCCATTGATGTGGGTCTGATCCCATTGATGTGGGTCTGATCCCCATTGATGTGGGTCTGGCCCCATTGATGTGAGTCTGATCCCATTGATGTGGGTCTGATCCAATTGATGTGGGTCTGGCCCCATTGATGTCTGTCAGCCCCATTGATGTGGGTCTACGCCATTGATGTGGGTCTGCCCCATTGATTTGGGTCTGGCCCCATTGATGTGGGTCTACGCCATTGATGTGGGTCTGACCCCATTGACATGGGTCTGACTGCTTTGCTATGGCGCTGCCCCATTGATGTGGGGCTGCCCCATTGCTGTGGGTCCGACCCCATTACTATGGGGCTGCCCAATTGCTATGGGGCTGCCCCATGGCCATGGGGTTGCCCCATTGCTGTGTCTCTGCCCCATTGCTGTGGGTCTGCCCCATTGCTGTGGGTCCGCCCCATTGCTATGGGTCCGCCCCATTGCTGTGTCTCTGCCCCATTGCTATGGGTCCGCCCCATTGCTGTGTCTCTGCCCCATTGCTATGGGTCCGCCCCATTGCCGTGTCTCTGCCCCATTGCTATGGGTCCGCCCCATTGCTATGGGTCCACCCCATTGCTGTGTCTCTGCCCCATTGCTATGGGTCCACCCCATTGCTATGGGTCCGCCCCATTGCTATGGGTCTGCCCCATTGCTATGGGTCCACCCCATTGCTGTGTCTCTGCCCCATTGCTATGGGTCCGCCCCATTGCCGTGTCTCTGCCCCATTGCTAGGGGTCCGCCCCATTGCTATGGGTCCACCCCATTGCTGTGTCTCTGCCCCATTGCTATGGGTCCGCCCCATTGCCGTGTCTCTGCCCCATTGCTATGGGTCCGCCCCATTGCCGTGTCTCTGCCCCATTGCTATGGGTCTGCCCCATTGCCGTGTCTCTGCCCCATTGCTATGGGTCCACCCCATTGCTATGGGTCCGCCCCATTGCCGTGTCTCTGCCCCATTGCTATGGGTCCACCCCATTGCTATGGGTCTGCCCCATTGCCATGTCTCTGCCCCATTGCTATGGGTCCGTCCCATTGCTGTCTCTGCCCCATTGCTATGGGTCCGTCCCATTGCCGTGTCTCTGCCCCATTGCTATGGGTCCGCCCCATTGCTGTGTCTCTGCCCCATTGCTATGGGTCTGCCCCATTGCCGTGTCTCTGCCCCATTGCTATGGGTCCGCCCCATTGCCGTGTCTCTGCCCCATTGCTAGGGGTCCGCCCCATTGCTATGGGTCCACCCCATTGCTGTGTCTCTGCCCCATTGCTATGGGTCCGCCCCATTGCCGTGTCTCTGCCCCATTGCTATGGGTCTGCCCCATTGCCGTGTCTCTGCCCCATTGCTATGGGTCCACCCCATTGCTATGGGTCCACCCCATTGCTGTGTCTCTGCCCCATTGCTATGGGTCTGCCCCATTGCCGTGTCTCTGCCCCATTGCTATGGGTCCACCCCATTGCTATGGGTCCGCCCCATTGCTATGGGTCCACCCCATTGCTATGGGTCCGCCCCATTGCTATGGGTCCACCCCATTGCTATGGGTCCACCCCATTGCTGTGTCTCTGCCCCATTGCTGTGGGTCCACCCCATTGCTATGGGTCCACCCCATTGCTATGGGTCCGCCCCATTGCTATGGGTCCACCCCATTGCTATGGGTCCACCCCATTGCCGTGTCTCTGCCCCATTGCTATGGGTCCACCCCATTGCTATGGGTCCGCCCCATTGCCGTGTCTCTGCCCCATTGCTATGGGTCCACCCCATTGCTATGGGTCCGCCCCATTGCCGTGTCTCTGCCCCATTGCTATGGGTCCACCCCATTGCTATGGGTCCACCCCATTGCTATGGGTCCGCCCCATTGCCGTGTCTCTGCCCCATTGCTATGGGTCTGCCCCATTGCCGTGTCTCTGCCCCATTGCTATGGGTCCGCCCCATTGCTATGGGTCTGCCCCATTGCCGTGTCTCTGCCCCATTGCTATGGGTCCACCCCATTGCTATGGGTCCGCCCCATTGCCGTGTCTCTGCCCCATTGCTATGGGTCCGCCCCATTGCCGTGTCTCTGCCCCATTGCTATGGGTCCACCCCATTGCTATGGGTCCGCCCCATTGCCGTGTCTCTGCCCCATTGCTATGGGTCCACCCCATTGCTATGGGTCCGCCCCATTGCCGTGTCTCTGCCCCATTGCTATGGGTCCACCCCATTGCTATGGGTCCGCCCCATTGCCGTGTCTCTGCCCCATTGCTATGGGTCCACCCCATTGCTATGGGTCTGCCCCATTGCCGTGTCTCTTCCCCATTGCTATGGGTCCACCCCATTGCTATGGGTCCACCCCATTGCTGTGTCTCTGCCCCATTGCTATGGGTCCACCCCATTGCTATGGGTCCACCCCATTGCTATGGCTCCACCCCATTGCTATGGGTCCACCCCATTGCTATGGGTCTGCCCCATTGCCGTGTCTCTGCCCCATTGCTATGGGTCCACCCCATTGCTATGGGTCCACCCCATTGCTATGGGTCCGCCCCATTGCCGTGTCTCTGCCCCATTGCTATGGGTCCACCCCATTGCTATGGGTCCACCCCATTGCTATGGGTCCGCCCCATTGCTATGGGTCTGCCCCATTGCCGTGTCTCTGCCCCATTGCTATGGGTCCGCCCCATTGCTATGGGTCCGCCCCATTGCCGTGTCTCTGCCCCATTGCTATGGGTCCGCCCCATTGCTATGGGTCTGCCCCATTGCCGTGTCTCTGCCCCATTGCTATGGGTCCGCCCCATTGCTATGGGTCTGCCCCATTGCCGTGTCTCTGCCCCATTGCTATGGGTCCGCCCCATTGCTATGGGTCCGCCCCATTGCCGTGTCTCTGCCCCATTGCTATGGGTCCGCCCCATTGCTATGGGTCTGCCCCATTGCCGTGTCTCTGCCCCATTGCTATGGGTCCGCCCCATTGCTATGGGTCCGCCCCATTGCCGTGTCTCTGCCCCAGTTCGATCAGGGGGTGCTCGACGCCTGCCTCTTCATCCTGGACCGCCGAGGGATGCCCCACAGCGCCCGGGGGGACCCAGTGATGGTGGCCAGGGTGGTGTCGGCCATGGTGGGTCCCTATGGGGCGGGGCTATGGGGCGGGGTGGGGTCCTATGGGGCTGGATGGGTCCCTATGGGGCAGGGAGGGCTCCTATGGGGCGGGATGGGTCCCTATGGGGCGGGCCTATGGGGCAGGGTGGGCTCCTATGGGGCTGCATGGGGTCCTATGGGGCGGGATTGGGTCTTAATGATGGGTTCCTATGGGGCGGGATGGGGTCCTATGGGGCAGGATGGGCTCCTATGGGGCTGGATGGGTTCCTATGGGGCAGGGTGGGCTCCTATGGGGCAGGATGGGGTCTTAATGATGGGTTCCTATGGGGCTGGATTGGGTCCTATGGGGCTGGATGGGTTCCTATGGGGCTGGATGGGGTCCTATGGGGCTGGATGGGTTCCTATGGGGCAGGATGGGGTCTTAATAATGGGTTCCTATGGGGCTGCAATGGGTCCTATGGGGCAGGGTGGGCTCCTGTGGGGCTGCATGGGGTCCTATGGGGCAGGATGGGGTCGATGGGCTCCTATGGGGCTGCAATGGGTCCTATGGGGCGGGATGGGGTCTTAATGATGGGATCCTATGGGGCTGGATTGGGTCCTATGGGGCAGGGTGGGCTCCTATGGGGCTGCAGTGGGTCCTATGGGGTGGGATGGGTTCATATGGGGCGGGGTGGGCTCCTATGGGGTGGGATGGGGTCCTATGGGGCAGGGTGGGGTCTTAATGATGGGTTCCTATGGGGCTGGATGGGGTCCTATGGGGCTGGATGGGGTCTTAATGATGGGTTCCTATGGAGCGGGATGGGGTCCTATGGGGCTGGATGGGCTCCTATGGGGCTGCAGTGGGTCCTATGGGGCTGCAGTGGGTCCTATGGGGCGGGATGGGGTCCTATGGGGCAGGATGGGGTCCTATGGGGTGGGATGGGGTCCTATGGGGTGGGATGGGGTCCTATGAAGCAGAATGGGGTCTTAATGATGGGTTCCTATGGGGCTGGATGGGCTCCTATGGGGCTGGATGGGGTCCTATGGGGCAGGACGGGGTCTTAATGATGGGATCCTATGGGGCTGGATTGGGTCCTATGGGGCTGGATGGGTTCCTATGGGGCAGGACGGGGTCTTAATGATGGGATCCTATGGGGCTGGATTGGGTCCTATGGGGCTGGATGGGCTCCTATGGGGCTGGATGGGCTCCTATGGGGCTGCAGTGGGTCCTATGGGGCTGCAGTGGGTCCTATGGGGCAGGGTGGGCTCCTATGGGGTGGAATGGGTTCCTATGGGGCGGGGTGGGCTCCTATGGGGCAGGGTGGGGTCTTAATGATGGGTTCCTATGGGGCTGGATGGGTTGCTATGGGGCTGGATGGGTTCCTATGGGGCAGGATGGGGTCTTAATGATGGGTTCCTATGGGGCGGGATGGGGTCCTATGGGGCTGCAATGGGTTCCTATGGGGCTGGATGGGTTCCTATGGGGCAGGATGGGGTCTTAATGATGGGATCCTATGGGGCTGGATTGGGTCCTATGGGGCTGCATGGGTTCCTATGGGGCAGGATGGGGTCTTAATGATGGGTTCCTATGGGGCTGGATGGGTCCCTAATGGGCGAGGCTATGGGGCGGGGTGGGCTCCTATGGGGCTGCAGTGGGTCCTATGGGGCAGGGTGGGCTCCTATGGGGTGGAATGGGGTCCTATGGGGCTGGATGGGTTCCTATGGGGCAGGATGGGGTCTTAATGATGGGATCCTATGGGGCTGAATGGGGTCCTATGGGGCAGGATGGGGTCCTATGGGGTGGGCCTATGGGGCTGGATGGGGTCCTATGGGGCGGGATGGGTTCCTATGGGGCTGGATGGGGTCCTATGGGGCTGGATGGGGTCCTATGGGGCTGCATGGGTTTCTATGGGGCTGCATGGGTTTCTATGGGGCGGGATGGGGTCCTATGGGGCGGGATGGGGTCTCCATGGGGTTGGGCACCCATTGTCCCCCATTATCCCCCATTGGCCCCATTAGCACCCATTGTCACCCATTAGCACCCTATAGCACCCATTGGTCCCCATTGGCCCCATTAGCACCCATTGGCCCCTTTCCCACCCTATAGCACCCATTACCGCCCCACAGCACCCATAGCACCCATAGCAGTCTGTAGCACCCATTCCCACCCCATAGCACCCATTACCACCCTATAGCACCTTACAGCACCCATAGCAGTCTATAGCACCCATTGCCACCCCATAGCACCCCATAACACCCTATAGCACCCATAGCGCCCCATAGCACCCTATAGCACCCATTCCCACCCCATAGCACCCTATAGCACCCATAGCACCCATTACCACCCCATAGCACCCTATAGCACCCCTTGCATTCTACAGCACTCATTATCATCCTATAGCATCCATTACTACCCATAGCACTCTATAGCACCCATAGCACCCTATAGCACCCTATAGCACCCTATAGCACCCATAGCACCCAATAGCACCCATAGCACCCATTCCCACCCCATAGCACACAATAGCACCCATAGCACCCTATAGCACTCATTCCCATCCCATAGCATCCATTACTCCCCATAGCATCCGATATCAGCCATAGCACTCTCTAGCACCCAATAGCACCTAATGGCACCCATAGCACCCTATAGCACCCAATAGCACCCATAGCACCCATTCCCACCCCATAGCACCCAATAGCACCCATAGCACCCTATAGCCCTCATTCCCATCCCATAGCATCCATTACTCCCCATAGCATCCGATATCACCCATAGCACTCTCTAGCACCCAATAGCACCCTATAGCACCCAATAGCACCCATAGCACCCATTCCCACCCCATAGCACCCAATAGCACCCATAGCACCCTATAGCACCCATTCTCATCCCATAGCATCCATTACTCCCCATAGCATCCGATATCACCCATAGCACTCTATAGCACCCAATAGCACCCTATAGCACCCCATAGCACCCTATAGCACCCATAGCACCCTATAGCACCCACTAGCACCCATAGCACCCATTCCCACCCCATAGCACCCTATAGCACCCATAGCACCCTATAGCCCTCATTCCCATCCCATAGCATCCATTACTCCCCATAGCATCCGATATCACCCATAGCACTCTCTAGCACCCAATAGCACCCTATAGCACCCACTAGCACCCATAGCGGCACCCCTGGCACCCATAGGTGAACTCTCTGGACGACAACGGGGTGCTGGTGGGGAACTGGACGGGGCGCTACGAGCAGGGCACCAACCCGCACTCATTAGCATCCTATAGCATCCATTACTACCCATAGCACTCTATAGCACCCATAGCATCCTATAGCACCCTATAGCACCCTATAGCACCCATAGCACCCAATAGCACCCAATAGCACCCATAGCACCCATTCCCACCCCATAGCACCCAATAGCACCCATAGCACCCTATAGCCCTCATTCTCATCCCATAGCATCCATTACTCCCCATAGCATCCGATATCACCCATAGCACTCTCTAGCACCCATAGCACCCTATAGCACCCACTAGCACCCATAGCGGCACCCCTGGCACCCATAGATGAACTCTCTGGACGACAACGGGGTGCTGGTGGGGAACTGGACGGGGCGCTACGAGCAGGGCACCAACCCGCACTCATTAGCATCCTATAGCATCCATTACTACCCATAGCACTCTATAGCACCCATAGCACTCTATAGCACCCATAGCAGTCTGTAGCACCCATAGCAACCTATAGCACCCAATAGCACCCATAGCACCCATTCCCACCCCATAGCACCCAATAGCACCCATAGCACCCTATAGCACTCATTCCCATCCCATAGCATCCATTACTCCCCATAGCATCTGATATCAGCCATAGCACTCTATAGCACCCATAGCACCCTATAGCACCCAATAGCACCCATAGCGGCACCCCTGGCACCCATAGGTGAACTCTCTGGACGACAACGGGGTGCTGGTGGGGAACTGGACGGGGCGCTACGAGCAGGGCACCAACCCGCACTCATTAGCATCCTATAGCATCCATTACTACCCATAGCACTCTATAGCACCCATAGCACCCTATAGCACCCCATAGCACCCTATAGCACCCATAGCACCCAATAGCACCCATAGCACCCATTCCCACCCCATAGCACTCTATAGCACCCATAGCACCCTATAGCACTCATTCCCATCCCATAGCATCCATTACTCCCCATAGCATCCGATATCACCCATAGCACTCTGTAGCACCCCATAGCACCCTATAGCACCCATAGCACCCAATAGCACCCATAGCACCCATAGCACCCATTCCCACCCCATAGCACCCAATAGCACCCATAGCACCCTATAGCACTCATTCCCATCCCATAGCATCCATTACTCCCCATAGCATCCGATATCACCCATAGCACTCTATAGCACCCATAGCACCCTATAGCACCCTATAGCACCCAATAGCACCCATAGCACCCATTCCCACCCCATAGCACCCAATAGCACCCATAGCACCCTATAGCACTCATTCCCATCCCATAGCATCCATTACTCCCCATAGCATCCGATATCAGCCATAGCACTCTCTAGCACCCAATAGCACCCTATAGCACCCACTAGCACCCATAGCGGCACCCCTGGCACCCATAGGTGAACTCTCTGGACGACAACGGGGTGCTGGTGGGGAACTGGACGGGGCGCTACGAGCAGGGCACCAACCCGCACTCATTAGCATCCTATAGCATCCATTACTACCCATAGCACTCTATAGCACCCATAGCACCCTATAGCACCCCATAGCACCCTATAGCACCCATAGCACCCAATAGCACCCATAGCACCCATTCCCACCCCATAGCACTCTATAGCACCCATAGCACCCTATAGCACTCATTCCCATCCCATAGCATCCATTACTCCCCATAGCATCCGATATCACCCATAGCACTCTGTAGCACCCCATAGCACCCTATAGCACCCATAGCACCCAATAGCACCCATAGCACCCATAGCACCCATTCCCACCCCATAGCACCCAA